TCAAGAGTGCACCCCTCTCTCTGTCTCCGGTGCCTGGAGACGGAAATTCACACGAGTTTTCGCCTCCCCTCCCCGCTGACCCCCTGCATAAGGATGCTGTGTGATCATGTGTGCCCCAGCCTCCACTACTTTCCCTTCCAACATACTCTCTCTCATAGACACACACCCCAAGTTAGGATATGGTTCTGCAGGTTGGTTTTTGCTGGGAAGGTAAACCACCCACCGCTCTTCCTGACGCCCTAGGGTTGGGGCTGTTTCGCTAATGAAGAGCTCAATTTAGCCAGTGACGCGGCGCGAGCCGAGCCGCGCGCTCTGACTGGCTGAGGACGCCGCTGACATCACGCAGCCCAGCCGTTGATTTGCCGCTGTCTCCGAGGCTCCGGAGGCGAGAGTCTCAGCCATGGGCTCTGGCACTTAGGCACAGACGGAGCTTGCGCTGCAGAAAGAGAAAGAGAGGGACAGAGTACGAGAGAGAGAGAGAGAGAGAGTGGGAGAAGGGGGGCTGCTTTTGGGAGCTTTGCTCAACGCAGCAGCTACCACAGCCAATGCAGCCACTGGTACTATGGAAACTAAACCTCTGACCAATGGAAATAATGGAGGCTACGATGTGGCAGGTGAGTGTGTGCGGAGGCTACGAACAGGTACGCTGGATGCAGTGAAAACGAAGTGCAGCAATTCGTTGTTTTTGTCTGCAACACCATATGAAAGCATTTAGATTTGTGTTCTTAACTCTTGATGCACAGTTTGCTGGGTTGAATGATCTATTTATGTGTTGGAAAGATCTGACAAACGTTTCATGAAGAGTTATAGTTGTTTGTCCTTTAGACTTGTTGTATTCGGGATTTTGTCCTTCGTAGTCGTCTCTTAGAAAGCTTTAACACTTTCACACCGCTTGCAGTTTCAGTGAGGGGTAAAAAGTGGCCCCGTATTCTCCCCCACTGAGGGCTTTTGATGTCCCCTGAATGGCTCCCTTGCGCCATCACCAAGCTGTTCTGCTAGTCCCGAAATCCTCCGTGCCACGCTAGGACGGAGTTGTTCTCGAACGATGCCGCAAGATGTGTATTTTTCCTTGTGTCTATCAAGAACTGTTGAAGTAATAACACAGCCAGTTTGCTGAACTGGTGGTTTTCGTAGAATGAAGGGGTTCACAGGAGAGTGTGACTTAATGGGGTGTGGACCTAAGGCAGAGCTGATTTCCTACCACACAGGTGAGATCAGGACATCTTTTTGCAGTTCGCTAAAGTAATGAATGGGTGATGAGTCCCTAATCGTGTTTTGTCTGTTTTTCTTTGTCAGCAAATGCTTTTTTTAAATGTACTTACTTTGCAGTTTCATTTGGTGGCTGACTACAGATTTTAAAGCATGTTCTCCTTAATTAAATTGGCCATTTACTTGTTTGCCTGTTTATTGCTCCTTTTAAAGTTTTGTAGTAGAGTTATTTATTTATATTTTTTGGATGAAAGGCATTATCAGGACTTTAATGCTAGTCCTGTATTTTGAGATAATAAACGGAGCATAATTTGTAATATTTGATCCACACGCAATTCAGTTTTCCTAAATGGTGCAGGCTTATACCTTGGTGCTATTACTGGTTTGTTATTCTAATAACTTTATTAATATTAAATTTCTATTCTAGCCTATTCCCAGTGTTTGTGTGGCTGCTTATTGGTAAATCAGGAGACAGATGGTGGTGGCGGTTGCTCACAGACGGCAGCAGTGAGAAGCTTCTTCAGAACGGCATCCAAGTGATGATTTCCTCTCTATTTCACCCGAGCTGTAGGGGATGTAGCACAGACTCAGTGCACAGCCCACCACTTTGGGTTTGTAAAAGTGAAAGCCCTAATTTTAGTCAAAACTGAAGTCACACTAATACCTTGGCCAGGATTTTGGTTCTTAAACCAGTTCTAATTTATATCCATTGATAAAATCCTTCCTAAATCGGTTTACTTGATGTTGGCTGGTCTCAAATCCGTATTCTGAAAAAACTAATTAAACACTCAGAGTGGAATGTTTGCCATGCTCAAAAATGAGTTGCCCTCTTTAGATTCTTTCCTTCTTTTATTTCTTCATTTTGCATTTTTATTGCACCTGTACTCCAGCCACAATTGGTATTCCACTCCAATAGCAGCCACTGCCAATCATCTGAATATAATTGGCTGTGAAATAATAATAGTCCAACAGCGCTGATGGGGATTATATTAATAAGGCTGCCGCCTTCGCGAGCGTGTATGTCTGTGAGAGAGGAGCAAGTGCCGAAAATCTCTAGTAGATATCGCACTGATGTGATGGTGCATATAGTCAGTGCTTTGCATCTCCAGATGAAATAGAATGACCTCTATTTTGTAGGTTTTGATAACCCAAATGTTCATACATTTTACATGTTTTTTTGCCATTGAGGTCTTTTTAGGGAATCTTGTTTCAAATCTGATTCTTTGTTTGTTTGTTTGTTTGTTTGTTTTGTTTATTATGAAATAATCTTAATTGCGTCTGCCCTGAGTCTACTTGTCATTTGTTTTTCCTTCATTTGTACTTCACTTTAGAGTAGAGTGCCCAAATTGGCAGCAGCAATAACACTTGTGCAAAATCAGCGTATAATGAGTGCAGTCAGTGGCGCAATAACCGCCCTGACACTCGTCTCATTTTACAAACGGCAGGTATCACAAACAGCTTATTTATCTACGACGACAAAATCAATACACCACGCTGACACCAGTGCCGATCTCATTTGTATCTCCAGAGATTCATTCCAGGCTGTTGAAGTAACATTAGCAGGCAAGGATTCTTGAGCAGCCAGGCACACACATTCCTTTCTTCATGTACGCACTACTGTCGCTCAGTCAGTCACAGACAGGAGTTCAGATTGATTACGCTATTCCCAAACATTCAAAACTGCATGCTCCTTCTTTTCTTTCCTTTTCTTTTTTTTCTCCCCAGATTCATTTTTCTCTATTTCTCTTGTCAGCAGTTCCCAGTGCTGTTGGCTGTGATGCACTAAATAGCTACAAGTCTGTTTCAAAAGCCGCTGCTGTCTCGTTTTGGCTGGCACACACCGGCCAATTAGCTCTAAATGTGGACACGGCTCTTGCAGCTGCTTTCCAGACCCCAGAAAACGGTTCCTTTTCTTGGAAAGAGATGAGAAGCTGCTTAGGAAAGAAAGGAGCCTGATTGTTGACTAGCTTGGTTTTTTGTGTGAAAAAGAGAGACTTTTTTTTTGTTTGTTTGTTTAGCTTGTATTTATTCTGTAAAAGACCCTGTTGTTTTTAATTAGTAAGTTCATTTACTATGAATTGAAACTGTGCACATCAGCTGACTTGGGGAACCACACCTTAAGGTCTGCGGCATTTTTTGTCAAAGTCAGTTTTTCAGCATTTTATTTCAGTTGGCCTTCCGAATGGTTTCGCTGTGGGATGTCTTTTATTGCTGACTTTTTTTTCTTTAATAATGTTTTTATGTGTATTTCGGGTAGAGCTCATAATTTTTATCCGTGCCTTTTCTGCCGCTGCTCATGCGGTACTGTGGTCTTATGGTAGTTCTACCAAGCCCTTGGCACCATCTGCCCTCACAGTCTCCTGCGTTCTTTCCTTTAGATGCTAGTGAGTCCGGTGCGGGGGAGTTGGGAGCTAAGGGTCAGGCCAGCGTGGGCAATTTTGGCTTTTCTGAGCACTTCGTCTGCCGTAAAGCACCGGAGAGGGGAAATGAGTGGAGAGCGAACAGCGGCGAACCTTCTGCACTCTCAAATACTAGAACAGCCCTTCTCCGTTCCACATTCAGATCCAAATTGCCTTCGAGTGGTGTGTTTAGAGAGCCGGAGAGTGAAAATATGCAGAGTGGCTTGCCGGGTGATTGTCAGAGGCTTCTTTGCCCCTGACCCGCCGTGTCGGGAGTTTTGTAGAATACATTTTTGAAGGATGCGGAGGGCTGAGCTAGCTGTCACTCCTACACTCAGTGCCCAGACGGCACGGCCTCAGAGAGAGAGAGAGCATGAGCGTAAGAGCTCTGCAGAGCAGGGAGTTTGACAGCTACGTTGCACCACATGATTCTCGGAGGGTTAGCATGGAGGCAGAGTATGTGCGTTTGTGCGGGTGCCTGTGGGTGGGTGGCCGTGCTCTTTTGCACCTGTCCCTTCCAATGACAGGACCCCCTCCCCCTGGTACACACACTCTCACTCACCCTCAGGCTCCAGATCTCATGAATCCCAATCAGCCAGGGCCATCAGCTGCTTAAATAATGCAGCAGCGGCCGCCTTGGCTACATTAGCGTGATAAATGCGCTACATTGTCAGCGCTCAGCCCTGCCAAGTGTTTGCTTAGCTGTGCCCTCCAATTCCAAACACGTCCCTTTGATCTCTGGCCTCAGCGGGGAAAAATAAAAAGACGAGGAAGGGCGCCGGCCACCTTGTTTAGAACCCAGACGTCATGAGCACTGGCTCAACTGATCTGTGCTGTCTGTCATTTGTCGCTCTATTGACTCACCAGACTGCTTCCCCACTAGTCGCGGAAAAGAAGTCGCAGATATTTATCTTGTAGCCGAAGGTCTTGCGTCTTCAAAGTGGCTTTCAGCCCACTTAAGTGAGCAGGGCTGCAGCTCAGTGGATTATGAAGGAATGGGGAAGTGCACCTTGCCTCTCTGCTGGCGTTACAGTCTTGGGGCAGAGACCGCTTTGTGTCTTTGCACTGTCTCTCCAGTTCAGTGCACTCGCAGAGGGTGGTCCTCATAGTCTCGGTAATTGGTAAGGATGTTGCAGCTTCTGTGATACGCCATTAGACCTTTTGCACTGCAAGTTGGAGAATTTGCACCACTAAGGCATCACTTGGCAGGGTTGTCTGTGTAATGAGCCCCTCGTTGACTGTAAACTCGGTTGCATTGCGAAAGATGCTGGTTTAACTGGACAGGAGAGCAATCCAAATGAGATCTTCAGAGATCTCATTGTGTCTGTGTAATACAGCAGGGCTTGGCGTCTGCGCTCTAAACAGGTTTTGTTGTTGCGATCTCATCTCCAGGTTCCTGAGGGGCATGAGCGCCTTGTCGGCGGCCAGCGCTGTTCTGATCTGGAGCCAGTGCTGGTGACAGGGACATGGGCCTCTATCTCAGGGCTTCCAGCACGCTCAACACAAGCGACGACCTGGTCCACAGCGCCACTGAAAGGGACGCGGGGTTCACCCTTCTTGCCAGGGCGGCACCACCACAGGCCCAGCACGCAGCAGAACATTGGGTAAGAAAAAGAAAAAAATGAAGAACACTTGTCTGGAGTGTGAATAGTAAGCTTAGACTATCTAAAGCTAAGATTAAGAGTCTCATGTGGGTAGCACAGACAGAGAAGTAGAGGTAGTTTTGAAATGAAAGACAAGGCTTAAAAAGCCTGATGAAAGACAGAATGCATTCATAGCTTCCTGAACCATCTGGATGTTCTGTCAGCGCTCCAAGACTCTCAGTGGGATTTGGAGTGTCACATGCCTGAAATCTCACACAGTTCTAACGTGTTAATGGAACTCTTGGATTGGCAGAATACTAATTAGCTTATTTTTTTTCTTCCTGGAGTTTAGTGGGGTGGCTTTAGTCGAAATCGTTGAAGGTAACTGAGGATTGTAGCCTATACTACTACTACTATACTACCCTATACTTGCTTCCTATATCTGTGTATTGGGTAGTACAAGTTTTTAATCTTAGCTGTTTTGTTAAAAAATGCTGCACAATGAGATTCGCAAAAGTGAAATAGGCAGATTTCACATACAGGGTCAGTCCTCAGGTTGACCCATTTGCATGCATTTGATCAGTAAGTGCAGTCCCATGTAAAAAAGACAAATCTCAATGTCCTTCAGGTCCCAAGCTCCTGGTAGACGCTCCAAGTAGCCTTCTCTAATGAGGATGTCTGATACTGTCAATGTAAAGGAGACGAGCGAAACCATGAGAGGTCTGGAGGTAGAGGAGAGCAACTCAACGCCTGGGGGCAACAGCCTCACCAAGTCCGAGAGCCGGGAGCAGATAGAGCCTGATGGGGATGAGAACTGCTGTGATGACAAGAGTGAAACACAGGTAGATCTTTACAGCATGCAGAACGGTTCTAGAAGCAGTGTCCTCAAGTCTTGTGCATTACTAACAAAGAATTGTATGGACCTCCACTAGTAAAAGTGATCTGACTTTGAGACTTCGCCACCTATAGGCTAGATTAAATACTGCACTGCGTCATGATGGCGTGGTAACTAAAAGATGAACAGATGTTATTGACTTTCTGGTGGTCGTATGTGAAGGTTCTCAGTTAGTTATTACCCTGCTGAAGCAGTCTGTGACGGTCAGTTAGTGTCCCAACCACTATAGAAGATTCATTTTCCCAATGCAGGGGCTGGTGCTGTGCACTGTATAGCATTAAATTTCTGCTGGTGACTTTATAAATCGTAATACACTATTAAGTGTGCGTTTTAACAACAATGTATTTGCATTATTAAAAAATGACATTGCTACTTAAGCCACACTTGTATTTATACACATTTCTATGGAGACATAGCTGCGAAAAAATGTTGTTCTGTGATAATTAACACATCTTATTGAATAATTGTCAAGTGATGTCCTTGCACTCAGTCATTTTAATTTTCAGGTATGAAACACAATATTCTCCGGCGTGTTTGCCTGCGATCAATAGCTATATTGACCATTGTAATTATCGCTATCCCTCAAAAAAGGGATTATGCCTTTAGGATTGTATGGAATGTATCTCCTGAAGGAGAGAGGTCAGAAAAACAAATCAGTAAAACGGTTGTTCCGATACAGACCAGGCATGCGGGCCCTGGGGGGGGGGTGGCCGGGTGGGGAGGGGGTTGTTGTCGCCGGCCGAGCAGAGCCAATCAATTGTCAGGTAATTGTGTTATGAGAACCAGCCGAAATGGATACACCTCGACCCACTCCAGTCTGTGAAGGTTAAGCTTTTGAAGGTTACAGTAGTGCATCTTTATTTCTACGTATTTATCTTTTTTTTCTCCATTATTTGACAGATACCTGGGAAGCAGTGCTTCTCTTTGACGCGATGACATTTTCCCGCTGCCGTCCTTTTTCCGAACCTCCGCTCCGGTCCTCCCGCTCTCCTTTCTTTTCATTTTGTTCCACAAATTGCCTTTCCCCTCCTGCTCCCTTGAAGAGATGCTTTGCAAGAAAAGCGGGCAGCGAAAGTGAGGAGGACTGTGCGAGCAGCCGTGCGGCTGGCAATCTGAGCTTATCCTCAAACTTCCTCTGTGTCGCCCTGGGGGGTGGGGAGGGAAAGCACAGCAAGTGGCTTTGTGGCCATCTGGCTCTGCGGCCCCCCCACCCCCATCCCAAAGGCTTTTCGCAGATCCTCGGCTGCACACAATGCGGCGCTACCTGCTTTTCCTCCTTTTCTTTTTCTGCAGTGCACACGCATTTCCGAATCCTTTTTCCTCGTCGCCTCGCCCGCATTCCTGTGGCAAATTTCGCCAAGCGTTGCAATTGTCGGGAGCGATTGCGCGTGGCTCGGTGCCAGTTCCAGGCACTCGGGGACTTGGAGATGCTCAATACCCAATTAAGGGTGAATAAGCATCCATCATAATTTCGTAAGGCTACTGTGTTGCTCATTAACCATGGCCCACTGGTGTCTGCTCAAGCCTGAGGGAGCACAAGACTGCAGGAGCTGAAGAACGAAGGAGAAGATGAATGGCAAATGACAGCCGTGTAGGCCACCCCCTTGACGCCGTCTCCTTTTGTTAGATTCTCTGGCTTCACCTGGGAGAATACTGACAATTCGCACACCATTTCTACCTATTTCAAGGTGTCACTGTGGCCGAGTCGCAAAACGAGTCATTTTTTCCCCTGCGTGTTTCTGGCACGTCGTCTTTTTAGCGCTCGTAAGATACAGTAACTGTGACGCAGAACTGTGTGATTAATGACTTTTTCTTTATATAAAAACGTGTCACGAATTGCCATTCCGAATCATAGCTGGAGGATTTTTCGTCTTTGGTTTACATTTGTCATTCACAAAATTGACAAAAAAAAACATGCAGTGTTTTTTCTCCCCTCAGTGTTCATTACCATGTCCGTCACATCCAAGTGGAGATGACATAGTAGGAACAAGAGTGATGACAGCTGCTGGGAACACAGCTGTTTGCTTTTAAAACTAGTGATGGGACAGGATTCAGATGGTCTGTCTCCACACTAATTTTGTCAGTTGTCAGAAGTGATGGTGCATGAGGCTACTGAAAAAAAATGTTTGCAAGTCAGAAATCCAAATGGATAGAATCTGTTCTTGTCATGTGGTGTTAAATATACTAGTATTTTCAGATTGGGGGATGCTAATCTTCAGTAACAAGTGAAACCATTCTACACTTCTCAAACTCATTGTTTAATAGGTTAAAATACTGTTCATTCATACTCTTGTACTATCTTGAGTACCAAGGGTCTCAAAAGAAAAAATCTATGGGAAACCAAAGACATGATGCCCATTTCATCTGTCAAAAAAATTGGATTCCAGAAACGAATGAAGACTGCTGTACCATTATACACAGTGACCTCAGGGAATACAAAATAGCCCAGCAGCAACACGTTTATTCGAATCTGGCAGTAAAGATATTATTGCGATAAAACATAGAAATGTGGATTGTAATAATGACTGGTGGAGAAAGAGGAGTATGTTTGCTCGGGCATGTAAACCTGCCCCAAAACGTTTAGGTACATTTAGATACTTTAGATACATTTGATTTTAAGCCGGGACCGACCAAACAAAACAGTTGTTAGCCTTATAATACGAACAGTGTTTTTTTTTTTTTACTAGCAAAGAGCTTTTATTGTAGCCTTTTGTATCCTGTAGTAATGTTAACTTTTCACATCATATGGTAACACGTGGGTTTTGCGCAGTGTTGGCATACGACCAGAATTTTACCCCTTTATCCAAACTGAATCATTCCTGGCCACCATGACCAGCGGCAAAAATTTGTAACGAGAACTTTGGTACATGAGTTATCTTAGACATGTAAGCATTGTGATATCAGAAACCATGATAAAAGGTAAGATATTTGTGAAATTTTTATATCTGCACATGCCCAGTGCTGATCAGCTCTGTATCCATTTTAGATGACTCATAGTTCAGCTGGTGAAAGGAAGAAAAGGTTTGATTCCATTTGTATAGTTAGTCGGTCTTCGGTTTTATGAGAGGAAAAGGAAGAAAAGACACATGTTGACTCCCCTTTAAACCATCCATTAGTCCTGAAAATGTAGATAATGTATCTATATTTTTGTAATGGATGATTTAGGGCAGATGATCATGTACTCTCTGCTTTGTCTTTTTGCACATTTCTGTGAAGCATCTCATTCAGATCAATGTTCCTGTACTTTGTTGTTCTTGTGACCTGATAGATGATTCAGTAATGTAATCCATGTCCCCCATTTTGTCTCGTTGCCTACCGTACAGCGGCAAATACCTGGACAAAGTGCAAAAAGGCCCAAGGTACAGTGGCAAGAGGCATGTTCTGGATGTGTTCTGCCAGCCAAATTTCATTCCTGCTTGTTTTTTTTTTTTTTCATGTTATATGCCATGAACTGATCACTGCTCTTTTTTTTTAATAACTACTCCTCCATTTTTGGATGTGCCTGTGTGTGATGAGGAGTATGTTGCGAAATGTCTGGCTTTTCTTTACTTGCATGGTTTTCAAACGCTCAAGAGCCACATTTGTGGACCCCTAAGCAAACTGAATTCTGTTTAGGCATGGTGTTGTACTGTGCTAATTCTTATTAATCCTTGAGCTCTGAAAACCACGCTCACTTTTTTTTTAATCCCATGTTTGTGATGCTTGCATGGGGAAATTTTTGATTTAATTATTTTTTTTTAAAACAACTCCCATCCATTTCCCTAGTTTGCATTGAGTTCATGCACTACTGTTTTGTTTAAATGCAACTCAACCTGCAGTGGTTTTTGTGTACATCCTGATCTCTCTCTTTAACCCTCACTACTCTCCCCCAGTCTAACGCAAAGTTAAAGTTAGTTCGGAGCCTGGCCATTTGTGAAGAACCCTCTCCTCCCCCAATTTCCTCTGAACTGCTTCCAGAACATCAGGTAAAGCTCTTCTCAGGGCCACTTAAAAGTGTCACACTCCAGCTCACTTGGTAACACTTACAGGCTCATCTCACTGAATGCACGTTGTCTTTGAATTTCCCTCGCCTGTTATTTTGTTCCTGAAATCTGTGTGTGAGGTATTTGTCTTCATAGGATTTGTGATACTTTGTGATTGCCCAAAGCTTGCCGACTTGCAATCACTGAGCAGAATTCTGTCACTTAGGATGTGCTATCTTTCATTGCTTGCATAGAACTATTAACCCTATGCTGTTCTGAAAAAACACTCTTAATTTTAAAGGGGTTATTTCAGTCCACCATGCATTATGCAAGTACATCACAATCACTGGCAGTCCCTACAGTGCTCAATGAATCCTGACTGCTTGTCACTGATGTAGAGACTAATGGTGTTAGCTAGCATTAGTGATATAGCGTCAACATCAGTTGATTATCAGAATTTTTCTTTGTTAAAGGAATAATTTAGCCAGCTCTCAAGTATCCACCCCAAAGCACTTGTAGCCTTTAAAATTCCCTTCCACCTTCAAGATACATCATCACAAGGGTTTTTAGGCTTAAAACTTTAAAAATCTTGTTTTCGAGACTACTACAGCACCACTGTAAAAGGTGTGTAGGCATGTTTACAACAGATGTAGCTCTGGCTAGGTTTTTCGTTTTGGCCAGATTTTGGAAGTATTAGTACACTTACAGTGAGCAGTACTATCTTTAGACTGCTTATGTTTTAGATTTTGTCTGTGGATTTTTTTGCAACATTTTCAGGTTACATAAGCTTAAGAATTGCATTGAAATAAAGACGAGATCATAAAACAAATTTTTGTATTTAATTTTATTCGAATTGAGAACACTTTGCTGAAAGCCTTCCGCTGCTGTCGGATCAAAACCTTGTATCTCCAAAATGCTAAATTCGCAGAAGGAAAAATAACATTTCGTTTTTTATGTAAGTCAATGGAACCAGACCTTTTTCCAACAAATTTTGGAGCATTTCTTTTGGTCCATTTATCATGAAATTTGCAAACAATGTAAAGGAAAACAGGCATTTTCAAATGATGTCAAAAACTGAAAAACGGAAAAAAAATGGAGATACAAGGTTTTGTTCTGACAGCAGTGATTTGTTTTGTCAAATGAGTAGTGACGTCGAACATATCTGAAGTGGGGGTACCGCCCTGCACCCCCCGCATTGTGATTTCTCTTCTTTTTTTTCTCCATTTCCATTTCACTGAAAAAATTGCACTTCTTTTAATGAAAGGATTGTGCTATTGAAAGCATTGGCTTTAGAAATGCATTGTGTTACAGTGACAACAGTCAAGCCTTAATATATCAGAGGCTGTTAATACAGACAAAAGATGCTTGTATTTATGTATCAGATTTACGTTTAATAATTAATCAGCGAGGCTGACTCTGTAAAACGTTACAGTGTTCCCCCTACCTCTTCCCCTGAAGCCCGGACTCTGTGAGGCCTTAACATCATGTCAGCTAACCACACCTCCCGTCGGCTGCTTTTTTTTTCACAAGGGCAGAGCACAGATCTCCCTTTTCTCAGTGTAAACATTACACTTGCCCCACGATAAAAAGCGTCTTTCAGAAATGCTCCGCGGTTCCCTCAGCGTCATGTCGCGCGCCCGCTTTACTTTGTTTTACTTTTGTGCCGGTTTTGAAAAGTGAAATGGACTCCTTTCTTTGCCACGTTGTTAATCAAAGGAAAACGGGGAGGGGAGAGAAGCGGCTTGGTCTCAGCGACTCTGGAGGGGGTGAAGGCACAAGGACGCCGTTGAGCCGGGAGGAAAAAAGAAAAGACTTAAACCAAAAGCCTCCCCTCAGGGTGCCTGGGCTTTGCCACATTGCAAATGGCAGGGGTCCTCAAAGCCCATGGCATAAAATATAATCTGTTGCTGGAGACGCTGAACCAAAGGCTCGGATTTTGATGCAGTGTCTTTGAGCAGTCGGTGTTTAAGGCCAGTGCTTACAGATGTCCCTTTGCGAATGTTTTTTTTCTGCAGTTCACCTGCCGTTTCTGCTGCCGCTGTATATTTTCGAGGATCCATATTCTACGTTTTTTCAGATTTTGTATTTTTTCCTGAACTCCACAAATAACGTTTGTGTGGTTTACGTACCAAAAGCAGTCAATGAATTTTGCAAACTCTCACTTTAAGGCCAGAGTACACAGACGGGACTAATACAAACAAACACAAGTGTTTGGTAGGTGTGCCACACCCATGTTCGATTGTCAAGAGACTATAGAATGTTCTCTTCTCATTCACTGTAGTTCAGATTCAGATTCAGAGTACTTTATTAATCCCAAAGAAGGCAATTCATTTGCAGCTTTCCCCGTCCATACACACAACTACATAAAAAGGAAGTTATATATGTCAGAGACAACAAATTCACATACATGAAGGTAAATGAGGAGTCAATGCAAAGAGACAACGAATAGCTATAACCATCATTTAAAAAGACTATTATCCGCATTTAGTAGCTTGATAGCAGAAGGAATAAAAGACTTGGAGTAGTGATTTGTTCTACTGAGGGCCGCGATATAACGCCGACCTGACTGCGATACAGTGAATTCGCTGGACAAAATATGATCAGATTGACTGACAATTCCTTTTGCTTTCTGAGCCACTTGTTTCTCCCACAGGGAGCCCAGGTCTCTCTGTTGGACCCCATTTACCTTTGAACAGATTTTTACAATACCATTCAGGCTATTCTTTTCCTTCACTGACTTTTTCTAAACAGATAACTCTAAAGTACATTCAAATGTTTGTATTTGTCCTGTTGGTGTACTCTGGGCGTTAGAATAAAACAGTCTGTGCTTTTAAGACAGATGTATGTAAATAAGCTCTGTTATGATTGGCCGCCATATATTGTGCCTCTTTCAGAGAATAGAGCACTGCTGAAACACTCCTTATAGCTTCAGCAGGAATGGGCAGGGCTAAAACTGATGTAGCCTGAGTGGGAGGGCATATATAAATGTGTTGGCTTCATGACATCACAAAAAAATTAATTAAAAATAGTTTTTTTGCAGCTCAATATTCATATATGAATTGTGTGGACTCAGATTCTTTTCATGCTTTTATTTAAAACAAAAAAATGAGGAATTATTGGTTTTCCATGATATGTTTTGCTGAAGCAGTACATTTTAAAATGTGATTTTCAGTTATTCAGTTTTCTATCATCAGAAACATCACAAAGTAGTGCAATGTAGCTTAGAATCAGCCAGGTTGTCTCACCATTTTAGTTTGTAGGAAATCAAAAGCTTATTTAAAAACTCAGTAACGCTTTACAGATGGGTCGTCAACAGAATTGGAAAAGATGATGATGATGCAGTGAGCATTCAGTTATTGTGCTTGACTATCAGAAACATGCAAGTTTGAATTCTACCATTGGTGTTTTGTCTTTATTCCTCAGGATGAAATTCAGATCAAGCTCTCCCAGTCGTTCGACAAAGAGGACGCTCCAGCCAGTAAAAACGAAGATGACAAAGACAAAAGCGGTGACAAGTTGGAGAAATTGGAGAAAATGCCCCGTAAGATGCTGTCAAGAGGTGTGTGCCTGTGGCTTGCTTTTCTTTTGTGTGATCTTGCAATGTTATTTATCTTGAAGATCACTAAAGAAAGACAAGGTGATAAATAAGCCCTTTTTCCCTCTCTCAAGATTCCAGTCAAGAATACACTGACTCCACTGGCATTGATCTGCATGAGTTCTTGGTAAACACGTTGAAAAACAACCCCAGGTTTGTAGACATTTCTTCAATTCAAAATCTTTTGCTGCCCAATTTTCTTGCCACTCTTTTCTCCTGTTACACACCTTATGAGAAAAATAAACATTAAGTGCTTTCCAAGTTTTTGCTCAATACTAAATGTGAAATTATGTCTTTGCTGTTGTTCCACCGTCATCTAATCCAGGGACAGAATGATGCTGCTGAAGCTGGAACAGGACATTCTGGACTTTATCAGTAACAACGAGTGAGTTAATGGCTCCCTTCAAGTACATAACTTGTGTATAATTTTCCTGTGATATATTTTTCTTCATTGCTCAGGGAGCATCCAAGAAATTTAACTTGAAGCTAAATTGGACGCCGCTCAGAACAACTGATGATAGCTGGAGCGACTCCCTTCTGAATTATTGATCGCCTCTTGGCTCTGTTTCACCGTTCTAGGAGCCAGAGGAGAAAGTTTCCCCCCATGACCTCCTACCACAGAATGCTCCTGCACAGAGTAGCTGCCTACTTCGGCTTAGACCACAACGTCGACCAAACCGGGAAATGTGTAATCATCAACAAAACTAGCAATACAAGAATGTGAGTAATCAAGACGGCTGCAATTTTAACTTCAGTTACGCCGCTCGTGAAATGACTGTTGGCGGGAATCCTCCAAAGCAAAACAGATTTTTGTCTCTTTTAAAATGGGTTTTGGTGGAGGAAATGTAATTATATGCGATTTCAGTATTGCTGGCCTGAGGCAGTGCATTCATGTAGTGGGAGTGAGACGGTGTAAAGATCTGTCTTAATAACGCCTCACGCTTTTGCACTTCTTTGGATGTGCAGACCAGATCAGAAGTTTTCCGAACACATCAAAGATGACAAGACTGACGATTTCCAGAAGCGATACATCTTAAAAAGGGACAACTCCAGCATAGACAAAGATGACAACATGGTAGGTGGCAAGCTTAAAGCTACTAATGATGCAACTCTCACAAAGATTAATGGCCTTAAACTGTTCTCTCTCATAAAAATGTCAGAAAAGAGCACATTGTCTTTTGGTGATGGATAGTGATTGGAAAATAATAGTTCCTTTAAATAAAATAAAACACAATAAAAGATTGCACATGGGTGATTATCGTGTTTTGGAGGATTGGCAGCTTTTTGTGCAGGCTCTGAAAGCAGGCGTTTGTGTTTCAGATGCGAATGAGGTTGAAAGAAGACAGGAGGAGTAAATCAATAGAAGAACGGGAAGAGGAGTATCAGCGGGCAAGAGAGAGAATATTCGCTGATGTGAGCTTTGTAAACATTTTCACTCCAGTCTGTTTTTAAGACGTGCCTGAAGAATACATTATTGACAAGCTGTATAAAGCTGTGTTTGATTTCTTATGGAAAACATCTTCCACCTCGTTGGTATGTAATAAATGACTCTGGATTTCTGTTGCAGGGCTTGGATACTTTCCCTCTTGATAAAAGGTGAGTGGGAAACACTGGAAGACTGTTAAATACTTAGTGGCAGTTTGAAAAGAAGCAGTGATGCTTCATGTGTTTTGGAGGACGCACATGGTAGCCTTCGTCCTACCAGCTTGGTAGCATCATGTGATGACTAAAGGCCTATTCATGCCGAGTTTGTTTTTTACCAATGAAAAGAAAGCACATGCATGTTAATGCTGTCTTTCACATCAAGTCTGAAGTCAACACCAGCTTGGATTTCTGTATTAACAATCAAGCTGACCAGTCATTGTTGCAGTCAAAACAAATGGCAGCAGAACAGCTCATCTTGCTTGTGGTGCAGCACAATATGTAAACGAGAAGCAACAAGCTGACTAGAAAAATGCATAGATAAAAGAAAATATATAGCAGGTCATAGCTTAAAACCTGATTATGATGGTGAACACTTAAGTACAACACTGTTTATAGCCTTTTGTTTATTTATCTAGGCTCATCAGGATCCTAGAGGGCCGGTGTCCAGAACGGTTTGGTGATTTACCTACTAAGACACGCCTTATTGCATTTATCTGTTAATTGGCAGGTTTAGTGGGTGTGTTGAAGTAGGGAAACCTCCAAACTGTGCTGGACACCGGCCCTCCAGGACCGGAGTTGTGCACCCGTGATGTAGGTGTATCCTAGTTTTTTCATGTCTGTTTTTTCAGGTGGAGTTTGAGGTTCGAGCAGCAAGTCCACTGCTCCCCCTGCTGACCGAACTTTATTTAGTTAAAATTACGACTGAAAACAATTAATTGTGAAATCATCGAAATGTCTTAGTTTTTTTTTAAAGTATGGTAGAATAATGGGACTGTGTAATGTGATTATTTTCCTAAAAGACCACTTTTAAACTCTGTATTATTGCAGTGTATTAGATGCTTCTGCACTAGCTGTGTTTCGTATTGTGGGCGGAGTCAGTTGTATAAAACAAAAGCACAGTGTTTAAATGGAACATGTAATAGTCGCAGCATTTGTTCATACCAGTGTGCATGTAAAATAAGTACATCCACTTTTGTACTGGATTGCTATGAGCACAAATAATTAGTGTTACTGTTGTTTTCTATTTTTACTCTTATTTTTGGTCTTATAGATGATAATAGTTACGGTTTTAACCGCAAATCATGGAGTTTTTCTGACAGAGTTTGAGGTCGAGCAGCAAGTTCCCTGCTCCCCCTACTGACCAAACTTTACATAGTTAAAATTTCAACGACTGAAAACAGTAAAATATAAAATTAATGAAACATCTTTTTTTTAAAAGAAGACGATAGAATGATTTGCTGTATTATTGCAGTGTATGAGATGCTTCTGCACCAGCTGTGTTTTGTATTGTGGGCTTCAGGTTGTTAAAGTATTACGTTCAGTTTTACTCTTACGTGGGTTTGATCATACAGATGTGCTAAAGATGAAACTGATGAACAACAAAACTGTCAGTAGAATTAGTCTGTGCTCAGATTTGACTGTACACAGCTCTAATGAATAAGGGTCAGTGCATCCACCTTTTAGTTGGAGTGCTTAAAAGAAAAACAGTAAATTCACTAACGCTACTTCTCATGAAATTTTTTTACTTCCTCATCTGTCTTCTTTCTGCATTCTCAGATTTTTATTTTTTTTCCCTTTCGAAAAAAAAATCATACTTGATGTGAATAGGCCTTAAATTGGGGAGGAAACTGGGTGAAAAATGAGGGGAAAAATACAGAAGACAAAAGTACACCACCAAGAGATTGGCGCAGTTGAAAATATCTGCTACCCCTCATGCTTACTTCAGCTGCTGGTGTAATATGTCCAAAACTCAGGGGAAATTAAGTCTGCCCTTCTGATGTTTTGTAGGATCCAGGAGGATGATGCTTGTAACAGCACACAGCAGAGGCGGCAGATTTTTAGGTATCTTTCCGCTTATTTTGGGAGTGTAACAACTTCGCAACCTTTATATTCTGACCATCCAGTCCACGATTCGAACCCCGTGTGGTCTTTTTTTTGCAATCGTTCAGGTTGAAAGATGGCCGATCAGGGAATAGCCGCCAAAGCAGTTCTGAGAACGAGCCCAAGTATTCGGAGCCGCGGCCCTGGAGCAGCACTGACTCGGACAGCTCCAACCGCAACCTCAAACCTGCCATGACCAAGGCCAGCAGCTTCAGCGGCATATCGGTGCTGATCCGCGGGGACAGCTCCAGCAGCAGCAAGAGCGTGGGGCGCCTCTCTAAGACGGGTGAGTGTCAAGTCGCTCCATCTACCATTGCAAGGCAGACAGGCAGCACTTAAGGAAGAAGAGAGCTTCTTGAGTTTTTCTTTATTTTACATTCATGTTGTGTCCACGAATGCTTCACTTGCTGACCTTAGGAACATGCAGAGAAACCTGCATCCTTTTTTTTTTTCCCCTTTCTCTTTCATGTCATTTTCATAGTTGCTTGATCACTGGGCAACATGAGATGCTCTTCTTTCCAAAAACACATGACCTTTATCCTCCTTCTCTCTTTCTCTTGTACATACATTCTCTTAAACACTATTAAAAGGTGTGCATGCTTTTCGCATCCTTTTCACGAATGCCGCTTATTTCTGTTAACACTTTCTGAAACTTGTAATCGTCACACATGAGAATTCATTGGTGGTCTTGAATAAAGTGCAAACTACATGTAGTCTTTAGAGCGTTTTAAAGGTAGTGTGACTATAAGACTCGCACAACACATGTTCACCATTTGTAACATATTAAGTGAAATCATTAAAAAAAAAAACACAATAAAAATAACAAAATGAATTGCTAAATTAACCAAGACATTAATCAAGGAATTAATTAACTTGTCATTCAATGCTAATAAAATCATTATCTTTCTTTCATTGCTTTGGTCCCTGAGGTAATTAGAATAGAAAATGTACTGCACATGTTTGGAACTTCGTCTAGCCTCGCTAAAGCAGCGCAGTTCCCGATCCTTCATGTTCTGCAGTCTCTGTACTCTGTCGGAGGCAATCTGTAGATCTCATATAGTAAATAAAACACACATTCCGAAAACACCCCGAAGTCCCCAATGAATTCTAACAGCTTTTGAAGCTTCAAAAGCTGCGCATGCTAACTCCAGAGCCCCCTAACACTGTTCTCCCCCCTCCACCTTCTAGCATGATTCTGCTGTATCTGTCGGTTAAGGCTCCTCTCGTTGCTCCCTTCCCCTTCCCTAGGTTCTGACTCTTCTAGTAGTGTAGGTTCATCCACGGGCTCGCTCTCTCGCTCCCAGCCTCCCCCTCCTCCTGCCCCGGCCCTAACCCAGCCGGCCCACGCCGCGCCCTTGGCCTACCCTGCCGTCAGCACTAGTAGCAGTGTGTCCTATGAGGGTGGCAGGAGCGGGCCACCGGCAACCACAGCTAACGCTAGCTACTATTTGCTTCCCCTGGAAGCGGCGGGGATACCGCCTGGAAGTATCCTGGTCAACCCGCACACAGGTTGGTACTCATACAGGCTCACCAGTTCTCTCTTCATGCTAGTATTAGCATGATTTAGTGCCAGTTTTAGCCTTTTAGACACGGGGGGGGGGTTTGCATTTCTTCTTCTGCTGTTTAAAATACTAAATCCTAAACTAACCCTACTTACATATTGTCTCAGCCATCTCTCGTAGTCTGCCCTCCTCTTGTGCTGCTCAGCATGATGCTGCCTGAATAAAGGTGCAGCAAAAACACAGTCTCAGGGGGGAAGGGATTGCGGTGAAGTAAACGCTAAGCGTCGTGTTTTTAATCGATGTCTTTCGCTGTCTCAAGAGGCGCACTGTTGCTAATAATTAGAAGTTGTTCCTTTGCTTTGCTTGTTCTCTGAAAAGTAAACACAGTGTTGATGAAACGCCTCCCACCGTCACAGGATATCTTGTCTAATGATGCAGCTCATGTGCCATTTAAATCTTTCCCCTTCACACCAGATCTTTGAAAAAGGGGGTCCGTCTTGGACGATCAATAAATCCTTCTTTGCTTCAAACAAATTCCCCAAAGTGTCTCAGAGAAACGTGTAATGAAGCTGTATTCTGTGTCATTGAAAAGAGGGAGGGGAAATTGTGTAGTGCTGCCTCTGATGTATAAAATATTCCTATTTACTTTGTTCGCTCCTGTCTCGTCTTTAAATATGCATGGGGCTGATAAGACGGTATATTGCTGCCGCTAATATATTTTCGAGAAGGAGCCTGGGTGTGTAATTGCTTATTGACCTTTTTTAAGCAGTTGGCAAATGGGAAAATTTTTCCCTACTGTGAAGGCCCGAGGAATTCATGTTGAAAAGTAGACGTTCAAACCTCAAGGAGGTTTATTTCAGGGTCGTTGGGTGGCTAGGTGGAGGTTGAACCTCTTCCTCGAATTCATCTCAGCTTATCACATTTCGCAAGTGTTCAGTCACATTTAAGAAGTGTCCCGGAGGGCTGAGCTATTCAGCATAATACACCTTCATAGTTTGGAACTCTGTGGGTTCAGGAGTCCAGCAATTTGCTTATTAACTCTGAAAATAAGTTGGAGGTCTTGGGTTAGATTCCAGCTGATGGCTGCTGTCATAGTGCCCTTGAGCAAGGCACTCAGCCGCAGGGGGAATGTCACTGCTGTTGGTTAAGGTAAGTCATTATGGGCTAAAGCTAAATGTAAACTGTATCTGCCTTTGGGCTGTTAGGTAAGTAACCGTACCCAAATGGACATACTTAGTCCTTGTAAAGGCATAACAGTTTTCAGATTTTCATATCGATCTTTGTCTTCATGTGTAACATTAAATGGAAGCCAGTTCTTCAAAGCTTTGATAGGCCTAAGTCTATAGCTACACAGCTATTTGTATTTTTATTGTAATGTGCATTAAACACATCGCAGAGGGCTTTAATAACACAAAAGCTCAAGTTGCACAGCACCAGAGTTACATAATTATAGTGGATGGAATGTAGTGTGAAGAGCCATGCATGCCTGGACAGGGGTTGAAACCCTCAGGAGATGTGCCTTATCCACTATGCTGTTCAACCACTAATGGAAAAAAACATGCACAGCTGAACAATTACGCTATTCAAAACTACTAGCTTGTGAATGAGAGGATTATTGGCAATCCCAAATGAGTCAAGCAGTGGTGGCTACTATAACAAACCTCTATCACTTTAAGAGGTCACTTATAAATGTACGGTTGTATGCAAAAGTTTGGATGCACTTGTCAGATTACTTTTTTGTTGATTTGAAAATAAGTACACATTCTCTACAGAGAACACATTTCTGCACATTTTAATGCACAGTAACTGTTCACTTGCTGAATTTGGCCTTTCAGAAGTTACGGCACATTTTATATTTTGATTGGTCCATTATGTTACACTCCGCAAATAAATACAAAGCATGCACTAATATTTGCAGCAAAATTCTAAATATTAAGTGTGTTCCCTGTAGAGGAAGTGTTAACTTGTTTCCGCTTGGGAAATCAACAAAACATGTAATTTAACCAGGGTGTTTGAACTTTTGCATCTGTATTTGTTTGTAGGCCTGTACAGACAAAGCTGATCAGGGAAAGCTCATTTTTTTTGCTAACAGCCTTACAGTGTAGTAAATATGCTGTAAGTGCCAGAAGTATTTTCATTAGTTTTATTTTGCACAACAGTGAATTATAATTTTGTAATTTTTGCTATTTGTTTAAAAGAGAGGTTGTAGTGATGTAGGACAATGTGCGGAGTATTCTCCATGATGTTTACTGTTCAATAAATTTGTTTTTGGGTTTCATTTCAGAATTTCACATCCAGTCAGAGACACAATAAAACTGTATATTTTAAGCTTAATTTATTGCTTCTTATATTGTCATTGCCGTGTGTAATAGCTTAATCTGAATTAGCCTGGTCTAGACCAAGTTTGCTTCCATCATATCTGAGAAAGAAGTTAACATGTGGACATTCTGAATGCAAACACCAAGAATGTTTCTCAGACTGTTAGGTAGCATAGCAGACAATGGGCAGACACTTCTTTTATTATTAAAAGCACAAAGATCTCAATGGATGTAGAGTAAAAGTAAATAATTGAGACTATAGAATCTGCAAAGCATAGATATGTTGTTCTCTATCTTTTAACAGTGTTAAAAGATTGTCTACTGTTATGGTTTATATATATATATATATATATATATATATATATATATATATATATTACTTTACGACCTAGATATCATTGATTCTTTGAGTCTTTTGATTTGTTTGAACTTTCAGAACAGAAACGATGACAAGGGGTAAAAAATTTCTCTTCCTATTCCACATCTTTAAACTTTCCGAATACTTTAAGAAACCTTATCCCATTGTGCCATTAGCTAACTGCAGTAAATTGCCTGTATAAAGGAACTATACTCTTAACTGCAGAAAAGCTACCATCCATTAGTTAATGGGGGAATGAATTACATGCTTGTGCTCTTTATGAGAATTACTTCACAGTTATTCTTTGCTGCCGTAGCATAATGGCCTTTAGTGCCATTCTGTCAGATAATTTGACTGATCAGATGAATATCAGCATTGTTTTAGTATAATGGCACTTAATGCACAGTAATACTATGTAAAAGTACTATCAGATATCTGCAAGCGTCCCGTCTCCACTTCTAGGTCAGCCTTTTGTGAACCCGGACGGCAGTGCTGTGGTCTACAACCCCACCGTCGCTCCTCAGGCTTCCAGGCCACAGCAGCCTTTACCACCACCTCCTCCACCTCCTCCACCTCCTGGCCCTCTCCAGCATCAGTCCAACAATCACGTCATCCCTCAGGTAGGTACATCCCAGTTAGTTTAAGAGATACAGAAGTCAAATGATTGATTATTAACACTTCTTTTCTAACCTGCTCCACACTGAAATCTTACGACGACACCTGTTTCAGTTTCTTTCTTATCAGGAAAGTAAATATTTGAAGTTCGTGCGCTCGGCCCATGAGTCATATTTAGTTATTTCACAGGTTAATACTATATCGCATCCTTTAAGCATAATGAATTGGCTGTGCCCCTGCGTTTTTGTTAAGTCAATTATATATGATAGATGGAGGCGGGAAATCTGCTGATAGTGCTGTCCTGCAGGCTGCTTATTGAGTCGGATGGGTCATTAATTGCTTGGCCTAGGTATTTCGCTTGCTATTAAGGAAAGATTAAACCTGTAGCCATGCTACCATTGGGGGGCAGGAGTTGCCAACCCTGTCACAGTGAATGATTCGCAGGCAAATATACGCTCAGGATAAAGACCAAAGTGCACTTCAGTTTCCAAATGGGAGTCATTGCAGTTCAGACAGGCCATCACAGTTAGAAATTACAATCTGTTCGATGCTGGATGTAGCCGTCGAGCGCTGCTATGACGACCCAGAGATACGGGATGATGGGGACTTGAGGCTCATTAATGAAATGCTAGGATGCAGAATTAATTTGACCCCTCATGGAGCAGACACCCGAGTCTGACAATGGGCAAATAGCTTGCGCTTTTTCCAATCGATGCCCTGACGTCCCAGCCCAATATCGCCATCATCTCCAGAGTGCAGTCACTTTTGATGAGGTCCAAAATTAAACGTAGCTGCACGTCCGGAGATGCTCAGCTAACCTGTCCTACAGTTTGACTGCCTCTGATTAACCCCGTCGCTGTATGTTTACCATCACCATCACCTCAAACCACCCAAGTGGCTTAATTAAGTTCATCACGTGGTGTTGATTTGTTATTTTTTTACTCTTTTCTTTCTCCTACTGGGTCGCTAACCTAACAAACTCTCCTGGGTGAAATTCTCTCATATATTCTAAATGCCTGTGTTTAGTCCCCTTTTAGATTCTTTCATCTTCTCCATCTTTGACTAAACCATTTTCCTCTCTCCTCCCCGCCCCCTGTCTTCTCCCTCGTCTGTTGCTTCTTCAGCCCCTCTGGCCTGTCCAGCCCTCCGCTCAGCCTGTCCAGTACTCGACGGTGTCTTACCCACCACAGCTCCTCTCCGTCTCCCCTAACCAACAGTACACTGTGGTACCACTCTCTCTTTCTCTCTTTTTCTTGTCTTTTTTTGTCATTGTTTTCTTTTCTGTGTGTCCGTCTCCTTTTGGCCATTCAGTGCATTCAGTCTAACTAGCCGTCATCTGTATTTACAGTATTGTGCAAAACTCAGGCATCAGACAAACAGTAAATTGTGCGTGTGTTAGCTTAACCATTTTCAAAGCACTCCTTCAGGAAGTCCAGTTTATCTCATCAGTCCTTTGTTAAATTAAATCAGATGTGCTGCTGGTGGAATTGAACTAATCCATACAATGGCTGGAGTGTACTGAGAAATCAGGAACCAAGCTTATGTTCTTCTAACCAAGATATTACGAACTTGTCACATTTTAGCTTTTTTAACTGGCAAAAATTCACTTACTGCCAAGATAAATTGTTTTGAACAGCTCTCTTCACTGCTGGTACTGTGCTATAGTCAGAACTCACACTTCATTTACTTAATTTCTCATCAAAATGGAATTGAAATTATTAATTTTTCAGGGTCTTGAAAAAAGCAGGAAGCATATATTTAAAATGACATTACCCAGAAGCCTCAACATCTAAATATAGTATCAAATGTTTCAGTATTTAGTGTGTCTAGACTGCTTTTAGATTTTCTAAGAAATCTGCAGGTCTGGTTTTCCATACCTCCAAAGTTCAGTCTTACAAGTTGGTTTAGCATTTCCTGCTTCTCACAATCTAAATAGTCCCAAACACGATCAGTGATGTTGAGGTTCAGACAGCTTTTTTGTTTGATTTCTTATTTTTTTTCTTCTGTTTCCTTTTCTCAGTAAGAGCTTCTTGACAGCTACACATCCTTTCAGACTCATAGTGTTGAGTTGTCTTCTCACAGTGGAAGGATGGCTGTGTATGTTTTCAGATCTGAAGCCAGAGTCGAGCTTAATTTCTCAGAGATGAAAGCTTTAAGTGCTGTTGATCTGATGGGGACCGTTTTGGTGGTCAGGTCTTACACGGTTATTAAGGATCCCATTTTCTCTGTGATTTTTTTTTTTTTTCCTATATTTTGAACTCCAATTGTGGAAACTCCTCCCCTTCCTCATGCAGGTGGATCTGCCATGTATCTAACCTGAAAAATGAATAACCTGAGCTTGACATCTGTTTTGACTGGGAATTAAATCAATGAAAAGTGTTCTCTTACTTTTGCATATCTTAATTTAATTGAGGCTTTTGTTATTAGTATGCGGAAACACTGACATGCACAATGATGTTTGTTCATTAGTGCCATGAATGTTATTTTCCTTTGAGATCCACAAATATCAGTTAACTATGAAGAAAAAAGAAAGAAAAGTGGCTTGAAAAAGGAAACAGAAAACCATTAAAGCTGTACAGCCAGGCATTTCTTGCTGTTTGATGAATTCCTTTGGCCCGAATTTGAATATTATGCGATCATTTAAAGCAAGCTCTGTGATGGATGTTTCTGCTTAATAAAAAATAGAAAAGCTCTCCTGCATTATGGATCGCAGAATGTTGCCTCCCTTAATGGCGCTCATTGGTCTTGTGCCTACATTAGATTAATATGATCTCCAGAAGTTTTTAGTCTGCAGTCGACTGCACTATTTACCTCAAAGCTGCTCGGAACATCTTGTTCACGCTTGTCTACACTCAGCGCTCAGAGATGTGGCTGTTGATTTAGAAGATTTTTAGATAGTTGCTTGTTTTAACGATTCTTCCACTCATTTCTCCCCCGTTCACTTGTAAACACACATCATGGGTTCTGCTAACCTCTTTTTTGACCTCCCTCTACCAGTAAACATCCCTTAATGACTAATTAAAAGAGAGGAAGGCTGCTTTGAATAATTAATCTAGCAGCAGATGTTGAAGTTAATATTCTATGAATAGAAATGCAGCAAGTCCCAGTGTATTTCTAATAGGAAAAAATAAAACAAATTGATATGGATTGGTAATTAAACTCCTAAGGCTTGATTCGCTCAACTCATTTGCACCTGTAGCAATCCAACCCATGACTGGGCAAAAGATTTCTCATTGTCTGATTGCTGATCCTGTCACTTGCTTTAGTGAACCTGCTCCCGGTCATGTTCAGTAAGGGAGTGCACATGGTGTGCCATTAAACAGGCTGCTGATTTGTTAATCTGAGTTGTCTGTTTGACCCGCCAGCAAGACAACCTGAGCGCCCAGTTCAGCCACATGAGCCTTGTGCGGCAGCCGTCGGGGGAGGGCCGCGATGCCCACACTGCCATGTACCCCTCCTCCGTGGTGCTTCAAGCCCCTCCGCCGCCCCCTCCTCCTCCACAGCAGCAGGCCGGCTATATGGTGCCCTCCCCTGGCCAGAGTGTTCCAGCCCCACCCTACTCCACGCCAGGCCCGGCACCCGTGAACCAGCCAGTGATGCAGCAGCAGGGCTACATGCAGCAGCCTATGCAGCAGGTACACCAACCAGAACCAACCAGTAAAGTTGGGGCAATCGTTCATGGAAACGTTTAGAGTTACCCAAGTGTTATGGATCAGCCAAGAGATGTCTGGTGCTTCTTTAGTTCTGCAACAGGGCTGCAGGGCTAATGTAGCTAAGAAATAGTTGAAGCTTATGACCTAAATTATCACACATTTGCCTGAAGTTGTTAAGTAATCTAAAATAGACTTGCTTATGTGGTTTCTTTTTTTGAGCAATGTAGTTTTGTCCATTTTTGGTGGCTTTGGACACTGAAAATGCCTCGAGCTACATATGCATTAAGGGTAAAAATACATTTAATTTTCCCTTTTAGACAAGTTATTGCATTTAATATTGAATAGTTATTGAGTAAGAAAGTAAGATTTTATTTATATAGTTCCTTTTACAACAGCTGTTGTCACAGAAAATCCAGGTTCAAGTCTCAAATGTGTAAGCCAAGGGTGACCATGGAAGGGAAAAACTCCCCAAGAGCTATGGACAGACGACAGAAGTATTTAGATTATTGACTGTTATTGGGATACCAAAGTGCCAGGCTAATACCTTCTTTTGTATTTGCGGTCACAGTGGAGCGAGCTATAAAGCCCTATTGTATTATATGATGCCTGCTGGCTGCTGGAAAATCTATGACGTAATGACCACTAGGCATGCATCGAGTGATACCGGATTGCTTTGATGACATTTGTCTTGTTTATCTTCTCCCATCTGCAGATGCCAGCATGTTACTGCGCACCAGGCCAGTACCCTCTGTCCAGCCAGCAGTATCGGTCGGTTGGCACGGTGCAGTACAGTAGCCCACAGAGCCAGCCCCTGCCCCCTCCCCCACCTGCTCAACAGCCAGGTAAAGACCCATTAGCCCAGCCACTACCACATGCTAGAAGCTGTTTATTTTTCCTGAAAGTAAACCACTAAACTCTGCTTATTAGTGTTGGTGAATAATGAAGGCATGGAACACCCCTCAATATAAACCACTCGTTCTTATGAATTCACTTAATCAAGATGGTGTTGGAAAGCTTTCCTAGCGTTTGCACACATTTATAAAATGTGTTCCTTTCATCTTTTTGCAAGGAACTTGCCCATTTATCTACGCTCCCCTTTGTGCCTCATTGTTTATTTTGGATTCTGTTTATACTGTACCGCAGGGGAGGGGACATCGCGCTCCCATTTTTAATTTTATTTGTTTTTTTTCTCCTGCTCTCTCTTGATTCCTAACGCTCTCCACCTCTCTCTCCGTACTTTTGTTGTCTTTGGTTATTCGTCGCTACGTCAAGCACGCCGAAAGATTGTGTGTGTGGAAATGAGGAGGCGCCCCGGGGGCAGGGGAGCGGAGCCGAAAGCTAATTACACCGCCAAGCACTTTAGCGCGCTGGGTACTCACATTGTATTGCCTTTTTTAAACAGATACAATAAGCATTTCCAATCAAATGTAAAATTAGCGCTGTTTGTCTCCCTACTGCGTTAGCTCGCCTCTTTTTCCGTTGCCCTATGTGCTTTGACAGATGTTTTGTTCAATTGAATTGTAAAAGCTCTCTGGTATTAAGGGGGTAAAAAACAGGCCTTTATTGCTTTGAGGATATGAAACTGGATCCTTTCTTGGAGGCTCTCAAGAGACTTTTGATTCTTTTAGTCACTAATTGCCTCTTAGCACCCTGAGCTGTCCTTTTTGGGAAGGCGCTGAAGCGGTTTTAAGGCTTGGTCGGAACTTTGAACTACAGAATGGTTGTAAATATCTCCATAGACAACACCATGATGATGAAAGCTTCCAGCACATGGAGCTACAGCCACTGTGTATCCTTCTCAGATAATCCAACATGGCCATCGGTTTTGACTCAGAGTGGCTGAATGCGGGGCCGGGGCACTGTCTGAGAGGCCCTAAGATTCTCACAGTGAACCGGTCTCTTTTCCAGCCCCTCACTCCTCCTCAGGGCCAGAGACCGTTACTAACGAACTGCAGTATCATCACTGACATCAGAGGCGTTGAGGTCTTGCCAAGACATTACGTTTTTATGCATCTAATCAACTGTTGCTCTCGGAGAGATTCCCCCTTATGTAGTTGATCAAACAAAATGTGTTTGGTGTCTAAGTCTTGCTTTCTGGAGCTATGAGGCTAATGTAGCTAACAAGAAGTGGACGTTTATAACCGCACATTAGCACTGTGTAAACTGCATGTCTAAGTAGGGTTGCCAGGTGTCTGGTTTTGGACCGGACCATCCGGTTTTAAGCTTCATTGTTCAGTTGGTCCTCTGGACTAGACATTTTGACATCCAGTCCAGAGTATCAGACAGCGGAGCTCAAAAATGAACTGTGTCTTACTCTAAATGCATTGCACGCCCCTCTCTCTAACTCGTGTCTCTCGACCTCTCTCTCGCTTGCTCGCAGGCTCAAATTGGGACGCGTGCTCAGAGACTTTCTCAAACCACATAAACTGTACTAAATATTACGTCAAATTAGTACACCATAAACGGTGCCATTGCTCTTTAGAACATACTCTTTAGTACACAGCAGTATTCAGATTGAGACACATAGCCAAAGTTGGGCTGTATTATGGCAGGTTTTGGAATAAATCTATATTTCTCCATTACAGTTAGTCTCAATAAACAAACATGTTTTGGTTTGCCTACCGACGACAGAATGAATGAACAGTAGTTTATTTTCTTAGGGTTTTATTTGTGTTATAAAATGGTAGAACAAATAGGTTGGAAAATTTGTGTAAAATGAAGTGTATTCTGTAATATTTGTGGATTATTTGTGTATTTATTTATTTTTTTTCCCCAAGTATGAAGAAATGTGGGGCTCCCGAGCGCAACCGTCTAAGTGTTGGCTCTATCATCAGGAGATCGTGTGTTCGATCCCTTGTGAAGCTATAGCCATTTGTGGCTGGGAGTCCAAGAGGGCATAATTGGCCTCACTCTCAGCACAGGTGTCTGTTAGCTGACGAAACAGATCTGGTGTTTGGTGCCTTCCTCTGAGCGCGTTCAGCTGTCCAATAACGTTGCGTGAGCAGCAGTTAGAAAAGATTTGGTGGAGCTTCACGGGCATCGGAGGAAGCCTGTGTTAGCCTTCACCCTTCTAGCTTTGGTAGTATTGTGTGATTGGGGAGTCCTAACTAGTGGGTGGAGTTGGAGACGACTAAATAAAAATAAAAAAAAAGTAATATAGAAATGTAAAAACAGTTATCGAACTGTTTTGAAACAAACAAGAAGACAAATCTGATAAAAGACAAATCTGGCAACCCTCTGTTAAAATCATCACATTCTTCCCCAAACAATAGACTTGATTATGTGCTCTCTGACACTGTATGACATTCTGTAATGTATAGAATATGGACAAAATTTTGTTTTTGAGGTAGTTGTAGTTGTGGTGGTTGATGAGGCATGCAGTTTAGTAATGCTAATTGGTGGGATGTTGGTATTTTTTAGCTACATTAGCTTCAAAACTCCAACACTAAACTAAAGACGCAGATTCAGAAGCTTGTCTTAGCTGATTGCCTACGTTTGGGGGCAAGTTGACAAAACTATTTTGCAGAACTGGCATTTTAAAGTCGACTGCACCAGCAAATGTCCTTCATTTTAAAATATGATTCATTCGGGTGTTGACATGACCTCAGCCATCAATAATGTCTGGGACAGTTTTGTTTGATTAAAAGATTTGAAGCAGGGTCTCACTGTCGTCCTTTGTTTTCATTGTTGGGGGCGGTCGTGGTGCATTGTTAATTGCTTCTGACGGCATTCCGATGGATTGACATTGCTTCATGTCTGGTAGATGGATCCACAGGAAGCGACACTAGAAACGATCTCAGAGTTTGCTTCCTTTTGTGAACGGGGAAAAAGTATCGCTAAGAAGAATGTGCTTTCTCTAAACCCTGTTGAAAGACATACAGAGGCATCATTCGTCGCCTGTGTGTGAGAAAGTGGGATCGGATCAGGATTGATGGATGAAGAGAATGATCTCCACAGTCAAGAATGAGAAATAAGAGAGCAGAAGGAAGAAACACAACATCTGCCCTGCAAAGGAGAAAGTGCAAGTTTTCTTCTGTGCCCTCCACAGGGGGGGTGGGGGGAAGGGGAAAAAAAACAAGGTTAGCTCCTGACAGTGCAGCATTTTTTTAAAAATCAGGTAACCTTGTGAGCAGCATCTCCACAAACATCTTTGAAAGCACACTTGGTCCAGAGAAGTTGAGTAAATAATATATATATATATATATATTTTTTTTTTCCTTCTCCTCCTATCCTTGCTGCCTCCTGCCTGCTCAGTCAGCCTGAACAGAGAATGTTTAATATTATATTCCCTTCATGCTAGCTCCCTAAGTGGAGGTGAGAGAATTGAACCAAAAATAGCCGGCCCTCGTCGGCTCCTCGCCGGGGGCCATCCATTCCTTTTGTCCCACTTCTTTTCTCATCTGGGCTAAATTGATTGCTGTCTCTTTGGCCAAAAGCCAGGAGAAATTGAAAATTGCCCACCCACCCTCCCCCCCTACTCTCTACTCCTTCCACATAGGCCTCCCACAGAGTCTTCCCGCTGGGCACCTCCTCTGGTGAGAGTTTTTCAATAACATTGCCAGGTTATAAGCTCCCCCTCAGATAACCTTGACACCGATGGAAATTATCCCATCCCGTAATGGGTGTTGGAACAAAACCGCATTACCTGCCTTTATCATGTATGCTGCCTTCTCTATTAGCACGCAGCACCTCGGTGGGCCGTTGCCGCAGATGATTGTCTTCTCTTCCCCTCCCTTTCCCCCCCCCGTCATCATCTACAAGCCCTTAAAGATGTAACGTTTGAAAAAGGCAATCATAATGAAAGCTGTTTTAATACAGGTAGGCTGTGCACTTATTCAGAGGTAATGAAAAGCAATTTAAAGGCAGAAAAACTTGCAGGTGCCTCCGCCAGGTGATCGTAAAGGGTTTAGCTAACAAGGGTGTAATTAGGTGGTTTTGGTATAATTGACATTCTCTGGGACTAAATCATTCATTCGCAGAGGTGCACGCAATATTGCAGTGAACTTGTGGTAGAAAAAAAAACGAAAGGCCGCGCAGTATTTAAGCAGATAGCTCTTGCTTTTTTGCCTTCAAGTGTTCTAGTGTAATTTAAACGCTGAACGTTTCATGCTAGCTTGGACTCATTATTTTTGCATAATTGCAGTCTCCTTCGGGTTGCGCTCGTTGTGTCTTTCGGGTTCTTTAATGTCTCGGTGTTGCATTTTGTGACTCCGCATACAATTGAAACATTTGTTATTACACTGTCATTTTTATTGTGTTATGCTGCCTAGCTGTAATATTAGCACATTTATTAGTCTTGTTTCTCAGCAGGCTGCTACAGGTAAGGATGCCAATTACCTTCTGAAAGCGTCCCATTCAAAGTTGATTATTTGCCAGTGTTTTTGTCTGTGGATGCCCATATTTTGTAAGATTTATGGCAAATGTGAGGCAGGAAATTGTAGCCGTGCTACCAATACATGCACTTCTGGGTGCACACATGAAAAGCTGTGGAGTGGTTTGAATATATAGGAAGGCTGTTTTTGGTAACCTGGTAAATCGCTTACTATTACATTTTTTTTTTGCATTCATTTTTTGTGTTTCTTTAGGTTACCAAACTGTGATGCCAAATCAACAGCCGAGCTACCAGAGCATGGTCCAGCAGCCGCAGAGTCAAACCCTGGTGAGCGGCCAACATAGCAATATGGGAAATCAAATGCAAGGCATGATGGTCCAGTATCCTTCAATGCCATCTTATCAGGTGAGCCCTCATCTCTATTCTCTCCAAATTAACCGCTGTTTTAAGTGGGACTGGGTGATATGGCCAACAATCTTGTTGCAGTTCATTTTTCCGTATCTTTTGATGTCATTTATTCTTGATAATTATTATTAATACTTAGTTTTACAGCTTCAGAGCCTTGAAGAAAAACTGAAAATAGCTCACCAGCTAGCTTTCCTAAAAGTGTGTACTGGGAATGAATTGTCTACCTCTTTCCAGGTATCCATGCCTCAAGGATCCCAGGGCGTGCCCCAGCAGACATATCAGCAGCCAATCATTATCCCCAACCAGTCCAGCCATGGGCCCATGCCTGCGTCCAGCATTCAGGTCTACTACAGTGTTATACCACCCAGTCAGCAGAACACCATGAGGTATGACTGAACTGTTGACATCTGAATGAATCAGAATTTTCACATATTTGCATAGTCATGAAAGATTAAACAAATGACTAATACGTTTTTAGATATTTTTAAAATGCTAATTGGCTTCTCATAACATTAGACGCTCTCATATTTACAAACTATAACATATCCGAACTCCATATTCCCAACAGAGCCGAGTAAATACCCTACGTCTTGAGTTTTGATCAGAGTTTCTTAACAAAGAAGGAAGCATAGAAAGACTACTGCAGCCAGCTAAAAGCTACTGTATACTGGCTGTGCTGGCAGGGGGTCTCTGGCAACAGTTAGCAGATGGTACAGAGCACATCTTTAGCACAAAAGAGATGATAAACAACAATCTCAGGTTCATTTTACTCATATATTTTATTAAATGAGAGGAAAAAAGCTTTTATCAGGTTTGGTATTATATAACTAATTCTTCTCAAACTCATGAACTGTACAAGCTAAGGTAATAGGTTAAATAGATGTGTCTAGGCTAGTAGCATTAGCTGAGGTGAAAACAGACGGTTAGTATTCTTCTGACATCTTTTATGTGGGTAATAATTTTCGTAAAATAATGTAATTTCTAGTACTTTTTGGATGGTTTTTATGTGACTTTGTCATGTGATTTGTGTAAAACCGTCTTGTTATTTTTAATGTTCGTGCACTAAGGTAGATTTTGTGTGACAAACATTTGCATTGTTCTTGCTTAAATTATTTAAAAGGAATAGTGACAAATTTTACACATTTCTTGGTGTAAATTTCAAGCCACATATCATGGATCTGATATGGATTTTTCCTCTAATATAGTACAATATTAGTAAAATGCTGAGTGGCACATTGAGATAGTTTTCAAACACTGACTTTGTCGTGTTATATAGCCATGCTTGTCTTAAAGTTTTTATTCGAAGGGGTCAGGCTGGGACTGTGCGGGATTGAGCTGCACCACGCTAGAAGGAGGAGGTCACTTTTTGCTCGTTCTTCTGCACTCTCGAGGGGCCTTGACTTTAGTAGGCCGCGTTGGCAGTGATTTATACGGCCAGATACCCATCCAGTCTTAATATAACACAGCTGGTCCCGCAAGGAGAGCGCTCTCGCACTCTCGCTCGCTTTCGCTCCTGCTCCGTCTCTCGCTCTCTCTACACCACCACCACCACCATCCTTCATAAGATTCAGCCTGTGGACAGGGCTTATTCCTCAGGGTGCACGGTGTCTCTAGCAGCTGCCTCTGCGCTTCGGCTGCCGCATCACTCTCCGGGCTGCTTACATCCTTATTAGTCCAGTACGGAGGAAGCATGAAGGAGAGCGGAGAAAAACGGGAACAGCGCCTTGGAAAATTGGTCACAGCGACAGATGATAAATGCCTACGGTGCCGCGTCTTATTCCACCGTCGTGAAAATTACATTGGCAGTGATTTTTTTTTTTTTCTCTCTTATTTGTAGGGAGGCATATCCCCACAGGTTTGCAGCGGGTATATTTAAACTAGCACCAGCGCACTGCGCTGCGTCAATCCCGTGTGTACTTAGTGCCCTATATTAGTAATTTCCTTCCAATTTCCAAGCAATCAGCTGAATTTGTGCTGTATTAAGTCAACTGTAGGCACAATTTTGTGGGGTATTTTTTGGTGGGCAAGACTGTGCATCAAAACTGTGTGTGTGTGTGTGTGTGTGCATGTATGTGTGTGTATCCACAGCTCCTCTGTGGGATTCCTCCCCCCTCCAGGCACGGAGCAGATGTCGTTTCCTCGCACCTCCTCCCCCTGCAACTCCCAACAGATTCCTACCCAGCAGTGCTCAGGTACTTAAGCCCAGAATGACCTACAACTCGCTCGGTCAACAGCCTCAGTCATCTTATTTTTATGCATTTTATTCAGAATTAGTTTAAGCAACATTTGTAGTAACTGTAACTAATGAATATTTCATACCTCAGAATCTACATTTTAAATCGGAGTTAACGGGGCACCATCTGTAAAGGGTTCCTGCTGTTTAGTGACCGTTTCCGTTAAAAATACATAGTCTGTGATTCCTGATTAAAATAATTTTTATTGAACCATTGTATGAACAAACTGTTTATAGCCTCCATTTCATATTTATTGTTTCCTTTCACTGCATAGTGTCGAAATTCCAAAAGATCACAAGGTTATCTGCTTCCACCCCACCCGGCGTCGGCCACATTTCATTACACCTTTATCCCAAATTCTACAACATAATCTGCAATAGCAGAAAGCTTGGTGTGCATGAAAAAAAAAAACACCATTTCTCTTTAGGTTACCTTTTCAAATCAATATCCTCTTTATCCCTCCACCCCCATTTCATTGCTCTCCCCTTTTCTTCCTAATCCTTGCCTCGGCACTGCGCGGCGCACACAATGCGACCCTCCAACCTTCCTCGCTAAACACAAGAGCACCTCGCTCCGAACCTGCGAAATTAGATGGTGGGCCTCCACAAAAGGAAGGTGGCACCTTGAGAGATGACTACCCACTCGGCTCGGCTCGCCAATCGGCCGATTCAGTGGGGATCCCGCTCAAAGCGAGGCCATCACCATATAATTTAGTGACAACAAAAGGTAGGTAGTCGGGCAGCAGTGTAAAAGAAACCCGGCTTGTCAACCTCTGTGAAGGGGGGAAAAAAAAAACCCTACCCCCCCTTCCCGTTTCAATTCCGCATCAGGCTTAAAGGTGCTAATTGAAATTACATTCTCCAGCCCTAACGATCCAATTATCGAACAGATATGGGGTGGTAATTAAAAAGTAATTCCTTCGCTGCTTTGTTCCAAGTTATGGCCGTCTTCACAAAAAAAAAAAAGTAAAAAAATAAAAAAAATTTAAAAAGAGCCTTCGTGGGGCCTCTGATTCTAATTTGGCGTGCCGCTTTATGTGCCGTTAACGTGAATTGCTTTCTCGCTGCAAGCCCCCATGAACGTTCGCTAACCGTCTCTCCATCGCACTCCTCTTCTCCTGCCCTTAATAACTAATTAAAAGTGGAGACGGGGGAAAAAAACCTGTCTTTTCAAGCACTGGAATTAGATTCCCACTGCCCGTTTTAGTGGCCGCAATGGTTTCATTTCATGGAAGGATTAACAAGTACCCTTTTAAACCCCTGTTGTGGCAAATCCTAAATATTTCAACATCCTTTTTTTTCCCGGGTCTTTCTTGATCTAATGCTGCCAGCGGTCCTTTTGAAAGTAGATCATAATGAGCTTGTCTGGTCATCGTCTAGTTGCTTTACTCTTCTAGTTTATCCTCACAAAAGTATTCTTCATGTAATTAGAGTTCAATTTAGATTATGTAGCTTAAGGAGTTCCTTATCTGAGGTTTCTTGGCAAATGAGTTGCGCAGTGTTTGCTTTGGAATCGTAATCTATTCGGCAGTTAGCCTTTCAGCTAGCGAAAAGCACAAGGAAGGCCAACTTCATGTGAAGTGAAATTAATAGCAGCGTTAATAAAATCATCCAAAGCAAACGTGGGATTAGTGGGCTTTAACCTTGTTTTGATCTCAACCTGAAGAGGATATTAAATAGGTTATTTGCAAAAAGAGTAATTACCCAGAGAAAAGAGTCTTCAGAGCCTCTCTTAAATGAGGTCAAGGCTTGGCTCTGAAAAGTCTGCAACCTTGTAAGTAGCCAGATAGAGCTCTTTGGATGCCTTGTGTGAAGCTGTTTGACAGAATTTAAGCCCAGATCTGCAACACTGTGTGTGTCCAGGCTTGGGCAACACATGCTCTTAACCAGAATAAGCAGACAACACTACATCCCAAGCAGTTAGGCAGAATGTGCAATAGGACAGTGATGAGTGATGGGAAGGCCTCAGTTCCATCCTAGCAGTGTGGGTAATTCCTTGTTAAAGAAAATAACTCCATAGATTTGAACTCGCTTGTCCTCGGTACATGCTCCTAATTCCCCATGATGGACTAGTAATATTGTGGTTCCGTTTTATGATGCTTGTAATGGTTTGGCTGCTATGTATCAAAATGAGGTTTATTGATAGAATTGTTCCAACATGCACTCTCATTTCAGCAGTTCTTGCATATTCCATACTGTCATCATCTCCATCAGTGTATCTTTGCCATACAAGGTGAATCACTACACTTCTTTCCTCTCTCTCTCTTCTAAATTGAGCGTGCCACCGTGTATGTGTGTTTTGTGTGCAGGCGTACCTCCCCCACCCCCTGGTGGCGGTATGGTGATGATGCAGCTCACGTTACCTCCAACCCAGCAGCCACGGCCACACTCACCTCCACAGTGGAAACACAACAAGTACCACAGTCTGGACCACCAACGCAGCCAGAAGTCCACAGAGCTCTGCAGCCTGGACACCTCACAGGTAAAGCTTGCCCAAACAAACAAGATCAGTGGACAGATAGAAATCAGGGATCATGAATTTTTATTTTTATGGCTGCTTCTGACTTCTTAACAGCCAAATTGACAGATGGCTGTTTTTATTTATTTTATTTTTTTTGGATTGTTTTGTTTTGTTTTAAATCCTGTAGCTTATACTGTGTGGGCTAAATGAACACAAAACACAGCATTTCCTATACGCTTTATACTAATAACAAAGTATGCCTTTTATTAACTTTTATAATATTATTTTAAGGATACTATTGTTTATATGAATAATGTTCTTTTAAATAACATAACGTTATTTGCTCCAAACTATATCTATGTAAATACATAAATCAATAAAGTGCTGTTCAGTGCGAGCACAGAAGGTGCAAATTGCATGCAGTTATGCTAGGCTCACTCTGTTGTGGTCCCACAGAGCAGTCCCCAGTTGGGCAGCCCATCCACCTCCCCTGCGCAGTCACCCACACCCTCCCACCTGAAGAACGTCCGTCCTGGCCTCACTTCTGTTCCCATCATGCCTCAGTTCTCTAGATCCTTTGTCCCGGGGCAAGGTGAGTCCTACTTCTCATAAAATTGAGTTTTTTCTCGCCATAGAGTTAACCCTTAAGGGTATACCTCCCCCACCCCATGTACATATATTATCAAAAAATATTTGTAATCTAAGATTGCATCTTGCTTTTAATCATCATTGACATAACTGCGTTATGCATGTATGTTCCTGTTGGCAGCAGTAAAATCCTTTTATTAATTTCAGAGTGCTGAATCAAAGATTTCTGTTACTGTTTTCTATCACTATATAAAGTATCTACAGGGCTTCCTTTCTTGTGAGATGCACTTCACATCTTTTTTCATGATTGCTAAGAGCTTGTTATAGTTTTGTTTCATCACATTAACAATTAAGCACATTGGATGTGTGATTTCTATTCCTATTCATGTGTTTTCTTATTCAGAAAGGCAGTGTCTGATACAAAGTAAACAAAAATCTCAGAATTTTTAGCTGTTAGATCACATTCGTACATATCAAAATAAACACAACAGCAGCATTCAGAAGTGACATTATTAACTGAACAGAGCAGATAAAATGCTAAAATTAGCCACTTTTTTGCCTCCGCCTTAAAGGATAAAGGCATCCTGTAAATAAGACTCTTTATATCGTATCATCGCTGTCCAAAAGACACAAGTGCCACCAAAACGTAACAGAAGAAGCCAAAAACATTGCTTTTAATGCAAGTTCATGTAAAAGGATTTTATTCCAAGTAATTTTGGAGTATTGCTATTGGTCCATTTATGAAATTTTGACATAATTTTAAGGACAGCTGTGTTGGAAAATAAAAAATCTGAGAGACAAGAAAACAGCTTTAGCATGATCTCAAATGATGACAAAATGATGTTTCCTGATGTGCTGACCCTCTGCTGTCTTTATCAGGTGATGCACGGTACCCCCTCCTTGGTCAGCCTCTCCAGTACAGCCCGCAGGTCCGTCCTCCTTTGCTCCACGCGCCCCCTATGATCTCCAATCACCAGGTGAGCCTCACTGAATGGCTATGCCAGGCATCTTTTAGCAGCACCAGCAGTATTAAACACAGCTAAACATCAGTGTTTCTCGCTCAGTTCCATCAGATGATCCTGACATGTAGCTCAGCCACTACTTTAAAGGAAGTTCCTTTAAAACACAGTGACAGTAAAGCAGCCACCAAGCAAACCAACTTCTAAATGTCCTTGCTTGGCCCTCTAGCCACTATAAATCATTACAGCCAACATTGTGGCTTTGAGTTCCAAGGACAGATGGAGAGGCGTTGAGAGCCTGTCTTTATATGTACTCTTTTTTTTTTCCCCCTTTTTTCTTTCGCCCAGGGCCCAGTGGGGATACGGCATGTTGGTCGAGGCAGAAAGCCGCCCAGGAAAGCGCTGTCTACAGATCTCAGTGTAGGTGAAGCAGGTAATGGTAGTGGGGGCCGATGCTGCTCCTTAGCAAGGCAGACTCAGGAAAAGAGGCGAGAGCTGTGGTTCTAGCCCAAATACGAGCCTCTGTCTGTCCAGCCTGTTTCACCTCCCAAAGCTCTAAAACTGAGCAAAAAGAGAGAAAAGTATAATAATAATAAAAATAATAATACTATTAGTGAGGTATATTTGGTATACTTACAGACTGTGTGGTATCCATGTATTTACTATGTATTTCTTAAGTACACTATATTATGTATGTACAATATCTGTTTTAAATGTTTATGCGAGATTAGGCCTGAACCCTAGGCTAGAAAAGGGTTCTCGGTAATGCTTTATTTTAAGGTCAGCTTCTTAAGGCTTACTTAAGTATTAGCAAGCAATTAATAGTTCCCTAAACATATAATTGGTAATGTGGTATAAATGTATGTATTTGAGATGTTAATAAGGTCTTTTGTAAGTTAGTTTCTTGACTAATGAGTTAAATGCTGATTGTAATCTTTCAGTTGTATTATGTGTTCTGCTTAACTGAACATGCAAACATAGTCATAACACATGTATGAGTACACCATGTGTGTTCATTGTACATTCAGATAATTATTACCTTGCTTACCAATTGTATGTTTATATTTTCTTGGCCATTATTATTGCTTGCTAATACTTAAGTTGTTAAGAAGCAGATCTTAAAATAAAGTGTTACTGTGTTTTCAATGGTGGTTCACCACAGCCATTGCAATTTAATACAAAATTACAATGAATCCATGTTTATGAAACTGACAATTAGTGTACACCTTGAAGGTCTACACTAAGGGTGAAAATCTCTCACCTCCCAGTGATTCAAATTGATTAATCCTTTAGGAAACTATTCAGAATCACTTGTAAAAATACACAGAGTACATTAATGTGACGGTTAACGCAGTGATGGAATACCAGTATTTTATGTTATTTTTTATTTGAAAATAGCTCGAGGATTTGAAAATAAGATTTTTTTACAAATATTTTGACCAAAGGAAAGATTAAAATGATTGAAAATGATTAAATCAGTACTAAGTATTAAATATTGTTTTAGGATTCTAACTTTCCAGAATCAGTGCTGTTAAATCAGCACCATCAGATGCATTTTTAAAATTTCAGGTATACATGCAGTTTTGTGAAAACATTGCTGGTTAGTGTGTAATAGTGTTGAATTGCCTTCTGTCCTCCAGTGAGTGGCCGTGTTCTGGAAGTGACGGACCTGCCGGTGGGCATCAGCCGGGCAGAGGCCGACCTCCTGCTGAGGGATCTGAGCCGAGCGGGCGCTGTGGTGACCTGGCTGCCGGAGCGCCGGGCCGACGGCGACCGCTCCGAGCCGCTCCCCTCTGACCCCGCCTCCGCCTACACCGTCCTGGCTACTTTCCCCTCCAGGCAGGCGGCGCAGGGGGCCCTCCTCTGCCACAGCTTCGCCCTCGGCCCGGCCCCCTTCAGACTCACCCCCAGCAAGAGACACTGCGAGCAGCCCAGCCTGGAGAGGGCCAGCTCCCAATGAGATTCTTCAGTCTATCTGCCCCCTTCCAAACAAAATACGCCCAACCCTACTGCGCCCCAACACCAGCACCCCTCCCTCCTCATCCTCCCTCACCTCTTTTTTTCCATCATTTTCCTCTTTCTGCTCCTCTCTGCCAAAAACAGAGCACACGTTTCCTCGCCTCCAGTCCCCAAATTTGGTCTTTGTCACCTTCTAGGCATTTTGGGGGGCGAAAGAACAGACATGAACTTGAAACTAGAGACATGAAGTTTCACATACATATGCTTTTGGATAATTGACTGGAACATATCAAAGGGGCAGCCTGTACTGTTTTTTTTTTGTTGTTTTTCCCCTCTTTTTTAATTTTTATTTACCTTTTTTGTTTTTCCTTTTTTATATTTGTAAAATCTGGTCTAAAATTATAGTCTCAACTTTCTTTCCCTCACCCATCCAAGGCACACACTTCCTCCCTGTCCATAGCAGCCATTTGCCCCCCAGTGTGGTCAAATCATGGGGTCATGGGGTACACAATGGGTCTCATGTTGTGCCTTCGATCAGAGGTTGGCTTCGCTTTTCTCCGAAAAAGAAAATCGAAGACACCTCAGTGTCTCCTGTAAAAATGAAGACCCGCGCATTTTGTTTTGTAAATAATTTATATAGTAGCTAAATAATTCAATTGATTCCCTTCCCTCTGTGAAAGTTGGGAACAGGCACAGGTGAGAGCAAGATTTTCTTTTCTTTTTTTTTGTCGTTTTTAACTTAAGACGTCGCCAAAAAACCCACCTCATTCACTGCTCCCACCCTTACATATTTTAATACTCCTCAGTTGGAACAATCCTGTTCACCCTTCTTCCTCCACTTCTCTTCCCTCCTCATACATGGAAAACCATGTCAGATCTTTTGATTTTCAAAGTCTTTTAAAAATAAAAAAAAAATTATATGCCTACTGGGTCACTGGAAAAAACACAGTTTGCACATTTATACAAGTCTATATATATAAATATATTTTTTTTCCTTTTTTTTCTCAAAGAAAAATGTGTGGATTCTGAAAGGCTGTTCAATGTTTACTGGTGCAAGTCATTTTTATTTCAGTTTGAAAACCAATAAATGTTTACACCAAATGACGTACTTTTCCAACAGTGACATCTCTGTGCCATAAAAAATGTTTTTAACCTGCCCAAGATTTGCTGCTCTCCATCTTTGCTAACAGCGAGCTGTTGTCTCCCTGTGTCTATTAGAACATATTCATCAACAAAACAGGCTGTCGACTTTGTTAAAATGAGTGCCTGGTCCTGTACTCTTCACCCTGCCCCTATCTGACGCTCTACTGGGTGCTATTCATCTCAATTTTCCCTTTTATTGGCCCATTTGTCTGCTACATTAACCTCCCTCCAACCTCATCTCTGCAAAATGGCCTACAGTTCGTCTAGATTTTTCTTTCTCCTCTCCCCCCCTCCTTGTTTTTTCCCCTCCTTCGCCCCTCCTTTCCCTAATAGCGTCAAAGCAATTTAGTGAAGGGGAGAGAAATCTTTTTCACGTTTTCACATCAAGCCTGAGGGAATTCATGTGGCTGGAACACTTCTCTAAAGAGGAAGCCTTCGTCTGTTCCAGCGCGGGAGCGGTAAGCGGCTCCTTTGCGGCGCCGTTGACCAGATTATTAACGGGCAATTAAGCCAGACATCTGGACAACCCTGACACCTCTGAGCCACCCAGAAGATGGATAAGCCGTTTGATTAAGTGTACATTTACGTCAGTCTTATTAAGCATATTCCTTGCTTTCATTCACCCAGGTTAGGAAAAGTTAGACGGCTCACGTGTGCCACTGACCTTAGTATACTGTATTTAAACAATTTACACCATTAACACGAATATACTTATTAGCCTAGACTGTTTTACTTTCTTTCCTTATCTGGAGCTTGATTGCTTCTTTAGTTTTGCGATGGAGCTTCAAGGCTAAAGTAAAATACACTAAATTGAAACTTCACGGCTGTTTTTGGCTATGCGACATACTTTGGTCCATGTTTGCAGGTAACAGAATATCATACAGTGTCAGAAACCACATAAGCAAGTCTATTTGAGGTTAGTTAAAGGCGGTATAGAATGCATTTATTCAGCATTTTACATTGTTCTCCGATGTCTACATAGAAATCCTGTGACTTTGGACGGGGCAAAAAGTGCCTTGATGCGTTTTTACACTCCCATTTACAATTTCATATTTTGGCCCTAGAATGAAACCAGCTGTTTTTCCTTTTTTTGGTGCGCTCATGAATAATCTGACGAGCTCCACTCCGATTGGCTGGTCAGAGCAAGGCGCCGCCATGGCTCTCAATGGCTGTGTAAATAAGCTAGGCCATCATACTATTTACTTAGCCATGCTAGTTACTTGGAGCTAGTAGCTAACAGTATCTGTTCTAGCCACTTGCTTTTGATCTCGACAACACAAAGTAAATTAAAGTCGGTCGATCACTGTGAAACTTTTAATGACCGGCTGCTTTCAAGCGTGGCTGCTACTGAGCTGCTTACAGGTCACGTTTGGGGTTGTGATGCTAATAAAGCTCCATCTCTTCAGTGTCAAATGCTAAACGAAGCTGCAAAATATTGTCCAGGGTTTGAGAAACTGTCTGGAGTGTACGACAGCGTTTTAGAGCCACTGTTAAAAAAAAATTGAAAATAGTAAACTTTGGGAATAAAGTCATAATGTTTTGAGAATAATGTTCAAGTTGTAATATTTTGAGAATAAAGATGTAATATTTTGAAAAAAAAAGTCGTAGAATTATGGAAACAGGAAAAGTCGCAATATTGTAGCCAAAGGGTTTGCAAAAGGAAGGAGTTGGTAGAGTTATACTTTCGTATCGATTACTCCCATAAAGAAATACTCCCTGTCTCTCCTGCACATCAGCACCAGCCTGTTATTAATATATGAAACGGCTGAGCAAAAAACTGTTTATTTAGAATAAAGAGCCAGACGGACTCGGAGGAAACGGTCTGTCTGTTTTGTTGAAGGAGAACTTGCAGGCAGGGTCGTCTACAATGCTATCAGTGATTACATCTCTGTGCCATTTGAAGAGAGCATGAAGTTTCACAGACAATGAGAATAATGATCAAAATGATTCACCCTGAAGGAGTGGAACTCTGGAGTTCAGCGTCTTTGTCCTCGCCAGTACAGCAGCCAAGACCCCAATGCATTATGGCAGCCCCCTACAATTAGCCCACTTTATCTTTAAAATATCACATATTTATTCTTGTAACTTCACAACTTTATTCTCGAAATATTCTAAAAATACGACTTTAATCTTGAAATATTGCAATTTTATTCTCAAAGACTTTTTTTAACAGTAGCCGTAAAAACGCCGCCGTAGGAGTGCTGATGTTAGCTTCCTATTCACCAGTCGGTTTTGCGAATCTTCCGTTCCACCTTAAATGTTGTCGCAGTTACATCCTGACGCCTGTAAAGCTCTAGCGTTTAAGGTGCAATGGAACATTTGATTAAGAAGCTGGTGAATCAGAAGCCAACATCAGCTTCAAAGATAAACATGAGCCATGCTGACGGTTCAGACCCTTGGAAATGATATGAAAAGTGCAGACATCCCCTTCACAGCCTGAAACGGTACAATTTCTGCACATAGTCTACCATTTTCGTTGCTGTTACTCTGCTGCTGTTTCCTGCTGGGCTGGAAGGTGGCCCGTGTATCTAAATTTTGGGGCAAGGCGAGGCAAGTTTATCTATGTAGCACCTTTCATACACTGTGGTCATTAAAAGTGCTTTAAAAAAGGGAAAATACAAAAATAATTCAAATAAAAATTTTAAAAGGAACATCGTAAAGGAGAATGGAAATTACAACATGATTAAAACAATAGATTTTAACAGAGAAGACAACCATTAAAATTTTAATTCAGATAATAGCATGTAAACTTACAGGAGAGAAGTACGGTAGAGCTAACAGTGTTTAAACTGAGCTGAAAGTTGCTGCCAGGAAGAGCATAGTAGCTTAACGCTGCTTCTCCATGTTTAGTCTTCACCTTCTGCAGAACTGACTAGTTCCTGGAGATTCGAGAGTTCTGCTCTGCTCATATTCCTGCAACATATCACATAAATATGCTGGACCTGCACCACTAAGCCATTTATAGACCAGTAATGGTATCTTAAAGTCTATTCTGTAAAAGGCTGGTAGTCAGTGTAAGGATTTGAGAATGGGGGGGTGATGTGTTCCCTTCTTTTACTCCCAGTGAGACTCTGGCAGCTACATTTTGAATCATCTGAAGTCTGATTGTCTGTTTTGGGAGTCCAGTTAGGAGACCATTACAGTGATCAATCCTGCTTAAAATAAAGGTGTGGAGTTTGTCCAGGTCTGGTTTAGTCAGAAAATCTTAGGTCTTGTTGATGTTCTTAAGGTGATAAAGAGCTGATTTAGTAACTGCTTTGACACGGCTGCTAAAACTAAGATCAGAGTCCATTAGTACAAGGTTATTTGCCCATTATTTAGATTTTAGGCTTTTCAATTAAGATAGGCAGCTAATCTGTGCCCCTCACTGCTGTTCTTGAAAACAGGTGTGTAAATATCAGTGAGTCTAGAATTAATGAGTCAAGACTGTTACATAGCAGTTTAGGATTTTGGAATTGGCCCATTTTACCACTCTCGTTTGCAAATGCATAATTTGTATTTGAAGGAGAAGACAGTTGTGTTTGAGGTTCAACAGCATGTCAGTTCCATGTACTGAGCTCTCCTTGTTCAACTATGCCAGTGTAAATACAGTTGTATTCTCCCTTTAATAACTGCACACACTTTGAGGCTAACTAGCAGATTGGATGATGTTAATTGGATAGCATAAGGCTTCATTAGCTCTGTAGCTTCTCAAAATGAAGGAAGACATCGGACACCAAATGTTTTCCTGATCGACCTTTTTGGGGTTAGGTGGTAATTGTGTATATTTGAGTTCAAACTTGCTTTAAGTGCTTAAAAAACAGTCTATTTATTTTCATTTAAAACACGTAATGACGTATTAGTGACAATGACACGGATAAAATATGCAAATCACCTGGAGGGGGTGGGGGGGGGGGGGTAGTATTTCAAGATAAGCGTACTTTCAAGTCTGTCCAATAGGAATATCCTCAGTATTGAGCTTGTTAACTGGCTAACTCAGAAATCCTGCTCCATGAAATACAGAGCATCCCTAACAGTTGTGTAGAAGTTCAGTAGCACAAAGGAAATTTTAGAAAAACAGTACATTTGAAAACATTTTATTACTTAAAAATGCATCCACAACATTTACAGTGCTGACGTATGTCTGAGAATGAAGAAAGTATGCATATAGGCTCATTTAAGTACATTAAAACAAGAATTCTGGAAACCAGGTTTTCATGAATCAAAACCAGGGAACTCTACTCACTGGCTGCTAAATCAGCAGGTTTTAGTGTCAGATGAGGAGGCAGTGATGAAGGCTGCACATTCACATGAGCTGAGGCTAAAGAGCGTTTCTGGTGCCCCTTGAGGTGCTGAGGAGGACTCATCGTCTTGCAAACTGATCTTAACATTTTTCTGTAACATTACTTACAGTATGACATCACAGAATGTATATTAGCTAATACAGTAACCCTTTCCTCAGAGCCAGTGTAATTCTGCCTGTTAATACTTTCTCCATTAAGCCGTTTGGTCTTCCACAGAGTTTAATCTGAAACCTTTCCAGCTTCATGAATGAAATAACACCGCCCTCCTCCAGTTGATCAGGATAGCATATATCTGCGTTATGTTTTCCTCAGCAACAGCATTTGCTTTCGATCAGCTTGTCAATTCTGATTAATTTACTGCCGCCAACGTTCTCACTGCAGATTTGTTCTGAGGAGTTTTGTTGGAGTTTTTCTTTCACTTTGTAGAGAAAGTAGAGATGGTTGCTAAGCGTGTCAGTCATCATTCTGCAAATGACTTGGTTCCAAAATTCAAAGTCAAACATTGATGTGAAATGGTTCACTGTAGAGATTTTTATTTTACAGTGGTGGTGATAGGAACCAGGGCGCACCATGTCTACAACACAAAAATGGCCTTTTAAGTTATATATATAAGGTTGATAATGGTAAAATAGGGGTGAATCTGAAATACCTTTTTTAGGTAGTTTTGAATCATCATCCTGCA